TCTATGTGGGCTTTGTTGCTTCTGAGCTAGATGGCCACTTGTTTACCTTCAAACCTTTAAGACCCCAGATGCTATATCTTTTGATAGCTGGGCACCATCAGCTTTCTTCAGCTCACCTCCATTATTCTTGTTGCAACCACCTCATTGTAATGTTGTACTTCTTGGTTCCTAAACCTGCCCCATCCTCAGGCACACAACACTTCCTCACTGCCTTTACAATTAAGGAGTTTAATAAGATACAAGATGATGACTCGATACACACAAGCCAGTCAGCACACAAGGACAGAGTGCTCAAGAATTATTGTATGATTAAGTGTAGACTAGACTTAACAAAATGGAATTATCACTTTTGAATGAATGGTTGTGGCTCTTAGGTTGATTTGCCACTGTATATGTGAAACTAGGTAATTGGATTATTTATCATACATTTTCATCAAGTGTAAAGGAAATCTTTTTTGATTAAATGATTCTTTTAAAAAAAACATTAGCAAATAAAACTGCCTTTATTTTCTAACTTTTTAAATGAAACAGACTAACTACAGCTGTTGATCTACCTCCTGAATTTATCCACCTTTATATATCAAATTGCATCTCCACTTGTGAACAAATTAAGGATAAATACATGCAGGTCAGTAATAAGAAGTCTTTGTAAATTTTGTCAAGATGCCAGCAAAATGAGCACACTGAAAATAATTCTTGTTTTTCCTTCTCTTTTTCCCAGAATCGTTTGGTACGTCTTGTTTGTGTCTTTCTCCAATCCCTGATCCGTAATAAAATTATTAATGTGCAGGACTTGTTTATAGAAGTGCAGGCATTCTGTATTGAATTCAGTCGGATCAGAGAAGCCGCTGGCCTTTTCCGCCTCTTGAAGACACTGGATACAGGGGAAACCCCTGCTGAGACGAAAATGTCAAAGTAATGCTTCCCCAGGACCACTGTTCGTTGTTCAGCTGTGCTGTGATTTAAGTTTTAAAACTGTTAAAACCCTGAGTGGACTGCTTGGTCTAGTGCATATGAACATCATTTTATCTCCTTACAGCAACGTGTTAATTTTCCTGGGTAACTCTTTAGGTGAATTTTTGGGTAAGAACTTGGAGAAATAAGTCTTTTAGGTGGTGTCTTGGTAAATATCCAGAGGAGAGGGCTGGTTATCCAAAAACGCCATTCTTGGAAAAGCAAAATGCTTGTTCAGGAATCCAGTTTTACTGAGGCTCCAACCTGACACCCATTCTTAAGAAGTTGTGATCTGACCTTGATGGGGAATCTGTGGTGTTTTGAATCCTCAAGCGGCAACCAGGACCTTGAACCCACTTGTGCATGTACCTTTTAACTTCTGGTGAAGCGTCACGTGAACCAAGGACATACTTGTCACTTTATCCTACAGAATTTGGGGTCTTCTTAGACAGTACAGTCAAAGTATTCTTTGGGACTTTAGGGGAAAAAAACAAAAAACGTGGAAATCTTAGAAATGTTTTTAAAATAGTTGGTAATGTTTTCTGGTCTTACCACCCCCAAGACATTCGCTTGTCCTATTGTTCGTATAAAATAGTCACAAAAACATCATTTGAAAAGGGAAAACTGTCCGTGGGGTCACTTTGAGAGGTACTCTGATGAATATCATTTAAAACGGCTTGCTTCCTGTCACTGGGCAGATGGCATGGGGAAGCATTAGAGAGGATATTGTGTTGATTTTTATGCTTCATTTAACTTTTGGACAACAGTGCCTTACATTAAAGTTCTTTTTTAACGATGTTATTTTTTGTGTGTGTTTTAATTTGCTTTACTGAAGCATTTCCAAAGCATACTCTTTATTGAAAGAAACTAACCCTGGCAATTCTGAGAGGATTGTAAAGTTGTCTGGTAACACAATGTAGCACATCTACATTTATGCTAACTTGTGTCTTAGCTATGATGAGTCGGGGATTCATGAGTATGTTTACTTAGAGCGAACAATGACCTAAACTCAAACTCTGAGCCATTGAGTTGATTCTTACTCGTAGCAACCCTATAGAACCAGGGTAGAACTGCCCCTGTGGGTTTACGAGACTGCAGCTCTTTACTCAAACGCCTAGTCTCTTGACAAGTGGCTGGTGATTTTGAACCTAGGACTTTGTGCTTACCAACCCAGTATGTGGCCTATTACACCACCAGGCTCCTCCCAACAATGACTTAAGCCTACTTAAATGATCTATTGTAGGATTCCCCAGTTTCCTCAAACTCCCCTGCCATAACCCTAAAAAACCATTAAACCAGTTAAGGTCTGGGTTGACTAGAGAAATCCAGAGACATTCCTGTGTATGAGTTTTATATAAAAGGTAAATATTAAGAACACATCCCAATCCAGATCAAGTCTGAAAATCTGATATTAGCCAGTCTAAGTACCTTTTCAGGCCCACACAACACGTGTAATGATGCCAAATGCAGGAAGATCACAGGCCAGTGGGTGGAAAGTTGTGGATCCGGTGGCAGCGGTGGAAGCATCTCAGCATTGGCATGGGTCGCCAGGTGGTCCCTCCAGCTTCAGGGCTCACTCCATCAGCTCAGCTCCACGTGGCTTGTCAACAGGAATTTCTCACAGAGGTTCCAGAATCCTCAGAAGGCCACGTCCACATGAGGCCTCACTGCTAGACTCATTCCTTTGCTCAAATTGACCGATTATGTAACTGCCAGTTTCTAGATTTACCAACCTTGGATTTCGTGAACGAGAACATCCTATAAGAAAAAAGCCCCTGGAGGAGAGAGAGTGCAGGAATTGCACCCGATCTGACCCCACCACGCTGAGGCGAAACACTAAGGGTGTGCAACAG